ACACACAACGCATTGAGGTCTATAAACAATTAATCTTAGTGGCAACTGCTAGGCTGAAGCAGGATCCTCTGGAAGTATGCAACCAATATTGCCATCTTTGCTCACTGGGCCATACTTTTCAAGCCAATCACCGGAGCTGTAAATGTCATGTGACTAATCACAGGACACTGGAAAATTACATCACTAATTGGTTGATCGAAATCTCACCTTTTTCTTTTTTTTTACCAGTGACAGACTATCCTGAGCGGACATCCAAGGCAGCAGACAGGGAAAAATAAATTTGGCACACACCAAGTCAAAACCCATAGGAAAAATATATATTCAACTTTTTTTCCATGATAACACAATTGATTGATTAACATTAATGAGTCAGCCAGCCTATATATTAAGACCTACTGTCATCCACGGATCTAATATAAATGTTACACATCAGGTGTTTTCCCCCAAAAGTTACCCAAACATTCACTTAAGAAATAACAGATAATGTTTGCGTGGATACTCACCAAAACAGATGTTTTGAAATACTATATTCTGTGTATATGTGTGTAGATCGGGATCACACGCTGTTTGAGGCGTCTTTGTGCGCACGCTTTGGATGTGTCAGTCAGCATGAGTAAGATTGTTTTGTTTACATCAGCATGATGTAAAATCTTAATGGCATGAGTCTGAACCAATGAAATGCTGCGCTTTACATCACAAGAATAAATTACGTTTTAAAATATGTTAAAATAGATAACAGCTACTTTAAATTGTAATATATCACACAATATATATATATACATATATTTTTTAATCAAATAAATACAGCCTTGGTGAGCACAAGAGACTTCCTTAAAAAAAAAAAAAAAAAAACAACTCTTACCAGCCCCAAACTTTTGTACCGGTCTTACTTTCCTGTCTATTACCTCATGCCATTATTTCATGACACAAACATCAACATGCGAATGTTTAGGTTCTGGTAATAGATAATTTGGACCACCAGGTTATATCACCTCTTTAGACGCAATTTCCACCAAAGTGTTGGCAACAATTTCAGAAAAGAGCACATTTGAGTAATGACAGCTACTGTAGATGTTCCAAATATTCACTGCAGCTTTTATGAGGTCACATCCTTCAACTCTCAGGCAAAACGCCCAATCTCTGATAAGACCACAATGACATGGCCAAAGAGGTTATTCGGACGCCAGTTCTGCAGCAGTAAACAAAAAGTACCAAGTAACGTTCATGGATCAAAGTGATCTGCACTAAATGTGGGGATGATAAATGTAAACAATCAAAAAAACACATTTATTGACACTAAACTGCAAAAAGACAGCTTGCTCTGAAATCCTAAAAGTTGTCACCATTTCACCAATGTCACCATTAAGAAATTAACACAAAACCAGCCTCACTTAAACAGCAGAGATGCATATTTGGTTTTTAGCAACTACCATACAGCAAGTGAACCTTGGCAAAAATAATAAAACATGACAATTTAACACACAAGGAACACACCAAGTGGAGTCTAAGCTTACTGGCAGCCATTTGGTCTCCTTGTGATCAGCGGTCATGCATCACTTTGTTTGGTAACACATGGGATTTGAAGTCTTCATGCTCACAGTACACTTAGTACCCCATCACAGATCCACTTGTCCCCACAGAGGCTACAGGCTAAAACAAATTACTGATTGTACCTGAGTCAGAAAAGCACCTTATTAGAATTCAAGGCAGAAACGCCTCCACCTCCAGCTCCCATTACTTTATATGGCTGGACAAAACTAATGCACTTACTGCCCTGCCCTGCAGCTCCAGCCACATTACTGCATAACTCTCCACTGCTGATGACAAGCTCTAGAGACATGAACACAATACAAACATGGAAAAGCCCAAGACCAGAGAATATGAAAAGATTAGTTCACCCAAAAATAAAAACGCAGTCATCATCTCCTTAACCATGAGGTCTTGCCAAACATGTCTATGCTACAGTATTACTTCTTCAGTGAAACACAAAGGGAGATTTCTTTCCTTTCTTCACGCAGCTCTTTCCATACAATGACAGGATCACTGAGTGTCACAGTATTGGTGTAGTCAACACGCATGATGAGGTTACGAATTCAATAGCCTTTAATAAACAAACAGGGAGAAAATAGGGAGACCACCTAGTTGTTGCTCTGTTGCAGGACAGTAGATGTGATTTTGCAGGACACGTGTGAGGGATAAATTTACTACTACTATACTGTGTTAATATTGATTTTACATCTGTTGGAAAGCCTATGTGCCATTACATTGGATGAAAGCATGTTTTAAATAACCAATAAGCTTTGCTTATTGTGATAGGCTCTTAATTTGCCCAAGTTCAAAATATGCCATGTAATTTACTCAACAGGACCTATTTAGTCTGCTGAATATAATGAACTAAGTAACAAGCTTAAAGGTATAAAAAAAAAAAAAAAAAAAAAAAAAAAATTCACATTATCTACCAAAATAAATTTTAAGTAGCGACTAGTTTATTCCCCTCTGTTTTACCAGATTTAGTGCATCTTGAACTTGTTTTTTTTTTTTTTATCTGGCCGGTTTGATCAGGATGTTCTTATCCAGAATGCATCTAGATGAAGTTGGTTGGTTATTTTCTCGGTCTAGAACATGATAGCTGGGCAAATGGATTTTTATATGGCATTTTTAGTGCTGTGTTTCTTATAGTGGTATTGTAATTTCAGAGAAGGAGGAATATATATATATAATATATTATACAGATATAATTGAAATGCGGGATAAACAAACACACTCAAGGTCAAAAAGAGAACCGACGACAACCAGGACTGAGAACTAAAGACTATATAGAAAACAAACGAGAAGGCTAAACGAGACACGTGCAAATCACAATTAACCATGGAATCAAACACGAACAGAAACAGAAACCAAGGAAACCGAAACTAAACAGAGCAGGGAAAGAGGAACTAAAGGAAACAGAATATCAAAATAAGAGTCCATAGAACCAAACAGAACTGTTACACTGAGGTGAATGAAAAATAGTAATTTTGGGCTGAACTAATCCTTAAGGAACAAATGGATTAGTTTTCAACATCAATGATAATAATGAGGAATGATTCTTGAGCATCAAATAAGCATTTTAATAGGATTTCTGAAGGATCATGTGACAAAGACTGGTGTAATGGATGCTGAAAATTCAGCTTTGCCATCACAGGAATAAAATTACATTATAAAATGTATTAAAATAGAAAACGGTTATATACAATTCTTATATTTCACAATATAATGGTTCTTACTGTATTTTGATCAAATAAATGCCACCTTGTTGAACATAAGAGATTTATTTGAGAAACATCAACAAAAAAATATATCTTACCATCCCCAAACTTGTTAATATCCAAACAATATACCCCAAAAGACCAAGCAAAAACCGATGAAAAATTTAAAATAGACTATAAATAAAATAAAAAAAAGAGAAAAATAGTAATCTTCTATTCTTAATGTGTAAAGTCATGGAAAGGCCAAAACAAGAACATGTCAGGCAAATGTGCATGTAAAATACAGTTCAATTAATTTCTGTTAAGGTTAAATGTGACAAATGTCATATTTTAAAAAAGCCACATTTTTTAAACGACATAACTTCGATATTAAATAACTAAGTAATTGAGATATACGCAGACCCTCTGTACCATCTGTTTGCGTAGAAGTCTGCAGGCCTGTTAATATAAAGACGATGCGTGTCCTGTTTCACAACCTCCCCCAGAAAAACATTTGTTGCCACAAACCTTATAAGCACCAAATGCCCACTTTAAAAAGGCGGTCTGACATTCTGTTCAGTGAACACGAAACAACTCTCTGAATGCATCAACAGAGAGAGGCTAGAGTTACACATCACTTCTTGAAAATACAACAAATGCATATACACAGAAGATCATCTAGCAAAGCTTTCTACAAAATACATACTGATTTCATTAGTTGAATGATAACCGTATCTCTTAAGCTTTACATCATATTTGGACACCCCAAAGAGACCAAATGGTTTGACCTACTGATGAACATGGTTTGTTAGAGTAGCTGTGCAAAAACTCAGACAAATTAAACATTAATTATTTAATCCTCTTTGACCCAAACACTGGCAAATGCCCATTTTATCTGAGAAAATTACCCAACAACAAACAGATATGGTCATTTCTTTCCGAATAACATAAAGGGTTACCTTGGAAACAAACATTTCACACTGATATAAAATTCTGAAAAAGTGTTCATCTTCAAAACTGCTTTTAGCTGTACTTGTTTTTGCCCCAAATGTGTCAAAATGATTACTAATATTAGTTACTAATGATTAAAATAACTCAAAACATATTTCCAAAACAAAAAAAATCTGAAAACAAGAAATTCATAAGTTTCATAAGAATTGAATCCACAGGACACTTTTGATATTAAAGTCAATGTGAATTGGTGTTCACTGTTCACAACACCTTTTACTTTGGTAATGTGATGCATTTTTTATTAGTAAAAATGTAATAGATGCTGGCTGTTACATAACAGGAATAAAGTCAGACCTAAAACAAATCCTTAAAAACGCTTTGGCTATTGGTTAAAACAATCCAGTAGCCTATAGCGTAACTGACGTCAGAGGACAAATTGTATTATATTTTATTAAAACTTACAAAGACAATTGTTTTTCCTTTTAAATAATACACAATAATAATATGAAATAACAGGAAACTAAGTAAATAGGGAATTGGCAGCATTTTGACTGCATGTTTACTGTATAAAATACAATAAATAGTTAAATTATATAATCCAAACTACAACATTTCAAATATACATGCATGATGTTTTACACTGTGACATGTCTGCCACCTTGTGTTTACAAAGCAAACTGCAACAGCTTTCTCTAAATTATAAGCTTGTGCCATCCGTTTTATCATTTTGCATGGAGAGTTGTGCTTTGACTAATATGAATAATGTGAATAATAATGAAAAACGTGTGAATGAAGACAATAAAAAAAAACACACCGGGTTACCTGCATCAGTGTGTCACTTTGCGAGTATAGTGTGGCAAAGGCGGGGGCTGGAACCTCCTCACCTCCTAATGTTGACGACCCATCAAAAACGCACTCCAGAGACTCTACCTGAAGAGGGGCACGCAGTTTCTCAGGTGATAAATACGACTACCAAACACACGCTGAACACACACACATACATATACATATATATATATATATATATATATATTTATTTATTTATTTATCAAACAATGTGCCCACAAGCAGCTTTAGAATGACAGGGAAGTGTGTAAAAGCATCGTGCCCTTCATTGAAACCCATGCAGCTACTGACACAACACAACAACTTCACTAAGCAACAAACAGCTGGCAAATGCAAAAACAAGTGAGGAATAAAACAATGTGCGTATGAGGTGAGTTCATGACTGAACCCTAATCACCCATAATATCATGATGATGATCGTTCATAACGCAGCACACATAGCACTTTTCTTAAAACATGGATCATCATGATGAACCGCAGACACTCATAAAACGCACACACTTGAAGTTGTGCGGCAGAAGACAGTGAGAAAATGATGTCATCTCCATTACATGGAGCCATTGTGAGAATGCTTGGACAGATGAGTCACAATGTAATCACATGTGTCAGCTGTGTATCATTCTCGATGATAAGTCATAAAATAAGTAATGTGTTTGTGTGTGTGTGTGGCTGTGCACATAGTATATGCATATATATATATATATATATATATATATATATATATATATGTGTGTGTGTGTGTGTGTGTGTGTGTGTGTGTGTATGTATATATATATATATATATATATATATATATATATATATATATATACTATGTGCACAGCCACACACACACACACAAACACATTACTTATTTTATGACTTATCATCGAGAATGATACACAGCATATATATATATGTGTGTGTGTGTGTGTGTGTATGTGTGTATATATATATATATATATATATATGGTATTTTGTCTGTAATTTGGTATGTAAACCATTTGACATTATTTTTAAAAAAATGTAACAATTACTGATAGGTGGATCATCATGGAATTGCACCCACTGAAGCCCACCGAAAATTCCACAAAGTTTATAAAAAATTGGCTAATTTGATCATGTATTCAGCAGAGTATAAGAGCACAGTACTCTCTATATATGTCCTTTTTCTCATTTCTCATTCTCATTATCTGCCATATTTATAACCAGAATATACCCCAAAAATGTTGATTTGTACCTAGAACCAGGTATAATTTATATTTATCCATAGTAAGCACAGACATTAACAAATCTGACATTGACACATTTCAAAAGTTTGTGATCAATAAGATTAAACAAAAATATATACTATTATTCAGCAAGGATGAATAAAATTGTATAACTTTCCACCTTTTGAACTTTCTATTCATCAAAGAATCCTAAAAACAGTTTAACAAAAATATTAAGCAGCAACATTTTTTGTTCTAATGCTTTCAACATTGATAATCAGCATATTAGAATGATTTCTGAAGAAAATTCAGCTTTGCCATCACAGAAATAAAGCCCATTTTAAAATATATTACCTCTAGTATATTTTTAAAGCAGTTACTTTAATATTTCACAATATTGCTATTTTTATCTGTATTTTTGATCAAATAAATGCAGCCTTCAAATAATTCAAAATTGAAAATTCATACTAGAGGTCACAAAAATCGATAACGTGACCCACTTCTCTTAGTGCTGTACTTATGTTAACAAACAAACTATTTATTCATTCGGACAAAAATATCACAGCAGAGCTTTGCTGTGCTTCAGCACAGATATCATTAGGCCTCTACAAGTACGCAGGACAGTCACAGGACGCTACAACTGTGGGACATGGGGAGCCACAAGATGTCATCCCCATCTGTGCCGACAGTTCCAGCCAAGCATGCAGGGAATCATAACACAATCCCATAATCAGGCAAAAAGCTAAAATCTCAAACATCTACGACTATAAGTATAGCGTTAAACAAGTGCATCTGCTTTAGGAGGCAAACTCAGGCTGTGTGCCACTGAAGCAAAGGTTAAACAATCGGATATTCTGGATGGGAGCATCCCTGTATCTTGACTGCCAGAAGAGCGGTCTGTAAATAGAAACCTGACCAGGGGCATGTGGTTCATGTGTCGTGTGCTGCAGAGAGCATGCAGTCACGTCATCATCATCAGGGCAGAGAGTGCGTGAAGCAAGATCTGATTCATGGGAAATATGATCAACACTGACGAAAATTACTCGATATTCTGTATTAAAGCAGAGGCAAAGAAATGACACTGCTAAAACACAATATACATTTAAAAGTCCTAAAGAGACACCAACACAGCTAAAAATGTGACACTATTGTTTTAAATGGGATCCAGAAACAAGTGGGAAAAAATACTTGATATATATGGAAACAATTGTTTTACTGTACTACACAGCATCACCAAAACAGAATAACAAAAATGTGTATCTTTTTATAGAAGTATGAAATAATTGTAAGCGGTTTCTTTAATGCTTCTTATATCTCCCTATATTAAGATGGAACAGAATACAGTATATTAACATTGAAAAAATAACACTGCAAACTGCAAATGATCCTTACATTACAAATAACAGCCAGAAGGTGGCGTAAGATTACTGCAGTCACTAATAGGGACAGAAACTGAAAGATCATCACATTACCAGCCTTAGCCTAATTCGAAGGAAATTGTTTTGAATCATCATCATCATCATCTTAAAATCACAACCAGAATTGCCATTGAACTATCAAAGGCTGTTGCGGCCAGCGAGGCGGCAACATGATTCATTTTGAAAAGGAAAACAAACAAATTGCATAGGTGCATATTTGTAGCACGATGTACGCGTTCTCAGAGCTCATATTGTTGTGAGGGAGAGTTAAGAGAGCGTGCGCATCAGCTGGGCCAGCAGCCAGAAAGCACCATCAGCCTAGAGCACATGGACTGATTTAGGAGGAATGCAGGCTCATAGTGATGACAGAGCGAGTGTGTTTTTGTGTGTGTGTGGGGACTGTGCAGCTGAGGCTGATAGGAGGTGACAGGCAGGGCTTGTCAGGCGCTGCTCTGTCGGCATGCAGGAGCTCCACTGATCTGAGCCCAGCACAGCTCCTCCTCAAACATCAGCACTGCTCACAGTGTGCTGGGAATTGTGAGTTTTCAAACTGCCACATTCATTTTGAATGTCTGCTGCACCACATGGTTAAATGATGATGAAGAATAATAATAGTTTATTGGGAGAACCGTTCAAGACGTCAGTGAGTGAGAACACTAGGTCATTAATAGGCCTAAAGAAATGCACAGAAAGCTCCATTAAAACAAAATTGCTGTCGTTAATAAGAGTGTCCTTAACCCGACGTGAAGAGACAAGTGACAAGCGACAAGCAATTTGTCTGTCCAGAGACTGAATGTGATACAATGCAGCCAAATGCAAAGATATCTTATTTTTTTAACGTGGGTAGGTCACCGATAACATGCCCTTTTGAGTTTAAAGTTTAAATAATTATTCAATTTTAATTTGTCTATCTACCCAGTCCTGTTTTTTTCACGATTTATATGAAACCGTAAATGTATTAAATCATAAATATTCTTAAGGATAAATATATTAATATAAACCTTCATTAGTTTATTTTAAAATGGTCATGCGGTGTGGCAAATGGATTTAAAAAAATAAAATCAAAAATAATACATACATTCTCTGAATTATTATGGTCATAAAAACTGGAAAAATAATTGCGGGATTTTTTAAATTGCATTTAAAAAAATAATACGGAAAATAAAACGTCCCACAATGCAGAACATAGAAACAAATTGATCAACTTTTTTGTTGCTAATTGATATGTTGCATCACATCTGGTTAGGACACGGTGTGACAATCGTTTCACTCCGCATCCATATTTTATTCCATCTGACTACTGCAGAAAACTGTCACTGTACAGCAGAACGTCTCTGTAGACTGGCTATAATGCATTAATGATGATGAACAGACAAAAAAGAAAATTATCTAACTGTGTCCAAGGCCAGTTAAGAAGTAATGTTTATAGCTGCTTGAGTCTGTGCTTGGTCTCTTCTCATTTGGCACTTGACTTGCACTACGTTTCTACAATTAATTATCAGTGAAATAGTGATATATAATTTTTTAAAAATGTAGATGATTTAAAAGTGCTGTATGTAACTTTTTCACTCTACTAAAGCATAAAAATACCATAATATGTTTGCATATATTGAGGAGACATGCTAAGTTCACATACTCGTTCTCTGAAAAACACTTCTACAGCCAGTTATTTTACTTTGAAATGTGCGTTTCAAGCAGGTGGCGGGAGAAACGACGATCTCTGATATTTTGAATTTGAACACTTGTTTTCATTCTTACATACTGCACCTTCAAGCCAGTCAAGCTAGTGTTCAGTTGATTTAACTGCTCTGCAAGTTGGTTTCCCAGCTAGCCCAAAACCCATTAAAACCAAAAGACCAGACCAGTTGAAACCAGCAAACTAGCTTAGGCTAAAAACTAAATCTGGTAAACAAAGAAATAGTATGTCCGCACACTAAAATTACAGCTCCAAAAATGTATAACAGTGCAATGATTCAACCAAGGTCTTCATCAAGCACAATTTTACACACATTGTGCCTGATGAGGAAGACCTGATGGTCAAAATGTTGCGCTGTATATAAATACATTTTAGGAGCTGTAATTTCAGTGTGCAGACTTTTTGGTTTGTTTGTTTGTTTCTATCTTGTTAAATTTTTGTCAATTTGGGTTTTAGATGTGCACACCTTTTTTTTTTTTTTTTTTTTTTTGATTAATAAAAATGTTCTCTTATTCCAGTGGCAACTACACAACTGAAATATTCATCCTAGATTTAATGTTCAACATTTTGACAGATGAACTCAATTATTCCTAATAGGTCTGCAAAAAGTAATTGATAAAAATCGATAATCAATACTGAAAATAATCTTCAACGCATTTTATTTATAGTGTCTGCAAACTATGCACAGGAAACATGTCAGTCACATCACTATTCAGTAGTAAAAAAATGATTTCTAAGAAGATTTATAGAGAATGCTTTATGTCAAGCATTTAAAAGTAAAGCATATAGTTTGAGTTACCTTGCCCTTTCAGGTGCTTTAACAGAAACACAGAAGCAACACATATCTGTCAAAGTTAGAAAGGCACGATTACATCTATTTTGCACAAAGGCTTATCCTGACTGTTTTCATAGCCTTCAAATTGCACACTGCTTAAAGGACAACATTGGGCAGGGTGTGGAATAATATGTATAATTACTTATCAATCATTTATTAATAATTAGTAATTATTGGAGTTGTTTTATTCGATTAATCAATTAATCTGAGAAATAAATCAACAGATGCCTTGATTATCAAAATAATTCTTAGTTCCAGTCCTAGTCTCTTATTTAGTGTGTGAATGTTATTTATTTGGTGTATGTTTGTGTGTTTGTAAACATGAAACTGATGGAGATTCTATCACAAGCAACATTGAAGCATGTTTACAGAGTGCACAGAGACATAGAATAGATGCCATGCAGCACAGAAATATGTCATGGAGCCATTGGAATTCTGGAAGATTTTACCTTCATAGGAGAGATGTGTGAATGAGAAACATAGCCGTGTACATTCTCAATCTGGGAGATGTTCTTCTCCGACACCTGCACCAGCTCAGGAGGACGCACATCCCCTGGTAGGTGTGGAGAGCCGTGTTCTGGAGGAGACGTGGTATCCTCATCCTGATATCTATATTTCTGAGAAAGAGAAAAAGAGAGAGAGAGAATGTGTACAGTTATACCAGCATAATATATTAAATAAATTTATTGCAGCTACACTGACCCAAACATGAACTTGATACGCGATTTGATGTTCAACCGGCGAGAGGTAAAGATTAATGCTCAAACCACAGTTAGATGAGAAAATGTTGAATAAAGGATTGTGTTTTATTGATTACATTGCCAAAAAAAAAACATAAAAAAAAACATTGCAAGCAATTGAATTCCCTGTAAATGAAATTACATTTATTTTTCTTAACCAAACAGTACTGCAACTGTAAACCTGCAAAAAGTATATTTTTTGTTTGTTTTATATATCTGCAGGTGACATAAAAATAAATTTAATTGAAAGGAAAGGTGACGTATTTTTCTTCTTACCTCACTTGCAATTATAATTATTTATTTATTTTCAAAATGATTTAAAGCTTCAATATGTAAGAATTTTGTAATAAAATATCCAAAAATCACTTGCACAGTGTGATATATTTCCTGCAGTTGTGTACTTACAATATCCCAAAAGTTCCCAAAGATTTTTAATTTCAGAGAAATTCCAATTTTAAATAATGGGCTGTCCCGGACTCCGTTCACTTGTCGCCTGTCAATGACGTAATATCCGCGTTATCCCTGGTTTCCGCCTCGTACTGCCATTGTAACCATGGCGACAGACGTGGACAACTGCGTTACATCTAGTGGCACGCTCACGCTGTTGTTGTTGTTTCGTTCAATCATTATGGACCATGGCAAGCAGACTTTGGGACAAAGGGAGAACTAAAACAAGGATCAGCCTGTCGCTTTCGAGATGCCGAGAGCTCCACGTCCGCGACTAACTTCGACTTGACAGAGCTCTTGCATGTACTTTATTAGACAGGTGAGCAAATGTACATAAAACTAATCAATGTTATATAGCTCAACATGATGACATGTTAGAATATGATCTGTATGTTATTCTAATGTTGATCTAGCTCACTGCTAGTCTCATACAGCCAACAAACTAACACATAGAATAACATTATAACTTTCACCACACTCAAATGCAGTTTAGTGTGATAGTCACAGTGTAGACCAAGTGAAACAGCGCTGCGTTACCTCACAAGTTTCATGTGTCTAATAAACTGACCTGTGTGAGTATTAATACAGCACTTGCGGGTAGTTCGGTAGAATGAAATGTCCTTATTCCTTTATATCCGCGAGACTCGCGGGTGGCGCTGATATCTGTCTCTCATTACTTTATCCCACAGTCATGGTAAAAACATCAATGTATTCCTCATCCATAAACATTATTAGATTCATCAGCTTGACGACAAGTTCCATAATTCCGCTGGAATTTTGAGTCATCAACCTACGCCTTTATTATTGTAAGAGGTTAGCGACTCCTAGCAGTGAAAAAATTACATACATTCAAATTCAAACTGCATTGTAACATACTTGTGATCTGAAGAAGAAAAAAAGACATGAAGTTTAAATCCAGCACTGGTACAGTGAACTGTGAAACTATTTCAACTCTATTTCTCTCTAGACCTCACTCCTGAGATGGGAAACACTTTTTAAATAAGCCAGGCACCCCCGGATCCTACCCGCCACACAGTCATCACAGTCGACCCCAATCTGCCATGACTGTATGTGAAACACTGTTCTGATACTTTCTTAACGGGAATCGCAAATTATTCAGCAGTGCCTTTTATCCATAGACATCCATCTTGTCCTGATACATATACCCGCCTCTACGGCATTATTGGAATATGGGTTAGGAAATGCAAACACAAGTCTAGAGGGAAGAAAAAGAGGGCAGTTTTTTAAGAGAAGGTAGATGCCCAAAAAGTGGGACAAGCTCCAAGTTGGGGTCTTATGCTGGTTGCTTATAGTAACATCACTGCCTCCGAGCAGCATGGGGGAAGACTGAGTGGATTTGCCCATATGGAGAGATTCAAGGTGGAATCCCATGCCCTATTTTAGCACTGAAAATTGGTCCTGAAAAACTTAACTAAAATTAGACCACTGCATAAAAAAGAAAATTGCAAGCTGCTTTTGATGCAATGGTCCATTTTGTGCTGGGACCAGTGAAAAACAACTATCGTCTCAACCAGGGGTGCATTTCCCTTACAACAATGTAACTCGCTACTTCACTACCATAGTACGATGCATCTTTGAAGAAATCAACTAGCTAATCACAACTGTTTGCCGAAACCATATTGTCGCAAATTAGTCGTTCAACCACGTTGGTTAATGATGTCACGCAGGTGGTGGTGGTATTAACTCATTTTAATGAATCTGTTTGAGATCGAATTAATGCTAGATGTTTTGCTAAAAAATACGGACATGGCATCTGAGGACTATTTATAATTTTTCTCCGTTATTTGCTTTATTTCCAGATTCAATCATAGGCTCGTTCTTACGTACTAGAGCACGTTCGCACATGCGCACTCTTCAAAAACAACGCTTTAAATCTCTTGACAAACTAAAAGATGTCAATTACATTTGTATGTATTCTAAATAAAATTGTACTGAATGTCAGCTTGCTTATTTGGCTCAAGATAAGGATTTATTGAGTCCACATGTCATGCAAACAAGACACTCTGCTTCTAACCACAGGTCGAGAGCTGTAGTTCCAACCACACAACTTTGCGATGCTGTTTGCGAATGTTCGTTGGAACCATGTTTTCGGGAAACACTGACTCGCTGAACTACGCTAAAAAACGATGGAACTTGCGACCATAGTTTTGTGTAAAACGCACCCCAGCCCAGCAGAAAATAAAAACGTATTGTTGAGCCCTGGCGTATATTAAACAGACAGAAGAGAAGTGTGCTACTACTACTGACACTTTGGTTAAGGGGACCACAGAAACCCTGTGCACATAATTCTTTGCCTTGTTCCGAACAACTCAAAGTTCAAACTCAACTCTCAGCGGCCCACAAAGCCAGTGAAATTGAAAGGTGAGTTTGAACTCAGAGCCACTGCTGGGAGAGAAAGGGACAGACGGGGAGTAGTTCTTGAGATGTTATTACACCGCTGAGTGCTTCAGTGACTCGGCTTCAGGCTCACTGTGGGGCCAGCTTGCCTGGATAATGAGCTGCTCGACTGGCTCAATGCTCTCTCACTCTGTGCTGGTCCGTCCAAGCCGAGCTAACGCCAGTAAAACCGAATAAATGCAGTGAGATCACTCACAAAGCTATTCAACCAAGGAGGACAGCTCTCGGAAAACTTGACAGCAGTGAAAAACGAATGCTAGACAGGCTTTACACAGACGACGTCCTCTGCAATACAATGTCACTGCCTAGAGCAGGGTGAACCTTGAGAGGTGCGCGGCTATTAGAAATGCAGTTTGATGGATGTTGTGTAGGATCTCAAGGAGTGGAAGAGCCCCGCGCCTGCTCCTTGTGCCCCTTCTGTCTCGGGTCTAGCCGTGCCGCTGTAAAGCTGTCAGCTCTTGTCTGTTTATCGGGCAGAAAACAGAGGCCCAGAGCTCAGCAAACACAGCACTTTATTATAGACACTTCACCTTGAATACCTTCGGGAGAGCTCTGTAACACGGCTGCACATCCCAGAGCTGCCAAAACAACTGCGTTCACTCCACAATACTAAGCATTATTTGCATGATAAGTGCGTAATCAGCATAATTTGGGATTATGAAGTCTGGCACATTCACCTCGGCTGAACCACACAGAGCAGGTGTTTACTGAAAGCCCAAATGTGTGGCCCTTCAAACAAAAGACAAACATTCAATTGGACAATAAAAGTCTGAACATTAATTAAACGAATTCTATGATTTTACCACCCCCAAAACAAGTTTTATTTATAAACCGCTATATTTGCCAAGAAACACAGGCCCATTTGAGAGCCTTTGACCTAATTATTCTACCAATACGGATTTGCATTGTAGGGACCAGCTTTTCAGGCCAGATGAGAACTGGCCAAAAATCAGAACAGGCTGTTTTTTGCTCCAAACACAATTTTATTTTGCCAATCTCTATTCCAGACTTGCACACAAACTGCATTGCAATAATTTCCCAAAATGTCATTTGTGTGAAAATATTACAAACTCTGTAAACAGGATGTTAACACAGGCCAAGATGGGACGCGCTGAAGCCTGTCAACACTCCCGTTATTCCCGGGTTTCTCCCGTTTTTTAGCCCTATCTCCCGGACCCTCCCGGTTTGTTATTTTTCCCGGGAAACTCCCGTAATTTGCATGGCCCAAACTCCTTTATGAATAATCGGACCAATATGTTTGTCTAATGTTGACCAGTTGCCAGATTGTATTAAATGCATTATATTCACACAAGCTGAAGTCTCAGCATCATTACTCCAGGTTTCAGTGTCACATGATCCTTCAGAAATCATTATAATACGCTGATTTGGTGCTCAAGAAACACTTCCTATTAGCCTGGATGCCAGCCGAACTTAGCCCCGCCCACAACATTTGAGGTCGGGAAGTTCGGTCTGGACTTCAATCAATCAAATTGAAGTAACGTAATCATCCACGTCACCAAAGAGCACTTGGGTTGAATTCATTTACAACAATTGTCGAGTTCTAATCCTAAACGGAGAACTTGTTCGTATATGCATTCACCTTTACTCTTTCTCTCAAAAATGATGATCGTGTTGGTAAGTACTCAGTGTATCCTTAAATTCTTTTTACAACACCGGCAAAGATCATTTACACTCATCTTCTTCTACTTCTTCCAGTGTCCATGCAGCGGAGTACTGTTGAAAACTATGCGTTGCTCAACATACGTCACCTACTCCGTTGCTCTGATTGGTTGTAGGTCTTTCCAATTGAGTGCAGAGGCATTTTCTTTCTTGGTTCGGTTGAAACACGCCCCATAATCACAGCCCAATGGAGCAGTATCAGACTCATATTCTGACTAGAATCTGAGTATGACGACGTCAGGCTAACTTCCTATTATCAATGTTGAAAACAGTCGCCCTGCTTAATATTTTTGTGGAAATCGTGATCTTTTTTTCTGGATTCATTGATGAAT